TCAGAGGTTTTGGCCCCATTTGGACGCTGGTCACGGTACACTGCGCAGCCATCCCAGGGCTGCGCCTGGAGCTTCTGATCCCTTCCTGAGGTGCTGGAACAGTCCTGGCCTGTGCTCATGGTAGGGCTCTTGCTGTAGGGTTCCACCCGGCACCAGTCATGTGACCCCAGAACAGCTTCAACTCTTCCTGCAACCACTGTGTGATGGAGTGGTTTGCTCACTGGTGGGACCGAGGTTTGGGGAAGTGACACATGATGTGCCCCTGCAGCTCAACTTCGAGGACACTTCAGGTGAGCTGGGCCATGAGGTAGCCCAGCATGTATCCCTTGACTGAGCTCAGCACTGGGAGTTGTGTGGAGGAGCGGAGACTGTGCCCAGCTTTGACTGTCCTTGCCCAGATCTGACAGACAGCTGAGCTTTTAAACAGTTCTGGATGTGGGATGTGGTGGTACATGCTTGTGATCCCAGCACTCTGAGAGGCTGAGGCAGGAGGATCCCATGAATCTGAGGCCAGCCTGGGGCAGGTACATAGTGAGCTCAAGGCCAGCATGCACCACCCAGTGGGACCCTGTCTCAAACAAACAAACAAACATGCTACCTACTCCCCAGCACACTCCCAGTGCGGGAGACTGAACGTGGGGCTTGACAGGCCAAACAGTGCTCTGTCACTGAGCTCCACACCCAGCTAGACTCTGGAAATTTTGATTTTTGTCTGTGATCTCTGGTCTCTGAAGCATTGGCCTGTCGTTTACGTAGTTCTGAACATGGCGTGTGCCAAACAAAGCAGGAGAGTGGCCAGATGGCGCCCGGAAGTCATTATTTGCAGTTTCTTTGCTCTAGGGACTCTGGTTGGGACTTGAGTTGGGGACCCTACCAGAACCAGAGATCTGTCCTCTGTCTGACAGATTGCCTCTTATCTTTGGGGATCCATCAGTTTCAGGACCCAGGTAGAGATGCGCTCAGGGAGAAGCCTTGGCCAGGAGTGAGAGGTTCGAGCCCAGGGTCTGGAATTCCCAGTCGGGCATAGCCCACCTCTCGTCTCCCTCAGGCAGCAACTGCCCTGTCAGCCACCTGGGTGGGCACTGGAGCATTGTCCTGGGGCTATGGTGACAGAGTGCTGCTACCTCATGGCTTACGTATAAATGGGAGTGTGCTGCCTCCCAGTTCTAGAGGCTGAGGTCTGGGGCGCGGAGGTCCACAGGACCGGAAAACTGGTGCTAGCTTTGCCCCCTCCTGGTGCCGCTGGCCGCCGTGGGCAGGGCTTGTCTTGTGAAAGCATCGCCCGCCTCCACCTCCCTACCCACCTCTGCTGTGTGCCTCTGTCTCTGTCTGAGGTCCCCCTTTTGGTAAGGACACCTGTCCTGTTGGGTTAGGGCTTACCCTAGTGGTTTCATTTTAATTTAAAATACCTCTGTGCAGACCTCTCACCAAGTAAGGTCGTAGTCCTGTGTTGTTGTTTAGACAAGGTCTCATTATGCCGTTCAGGTTGGCCTCCCACTCACTGTGTAGCCCCAGCTGGCCTTGAACTTGAGTCCGTTCTCCTGCCTTAGCTTAGATCCTGAGCCCTCCCACTTGGGACACTCAGTCCCTGCTGCTGCCCAACAGCGGGTAGCTGGTGGTAGGCTCCGATTGCATGGCTCCAGGAAATGGGAAGCGTTTCCTGCAGAACTGGGCTGAAGCTTCCTGGCAGAGGAAGGAGCCTGACACTGCCGGCCTGGCCATCTGCTGCTGGAAGGCTCTGGTGGCTCCTGCTGGGTCCTCTGGGTGTGCAGCATGGTGTGTGTGTGTGTGTGTGTGTGTGTGTGTGTGTGTGTGTGTCTGTTGGTGGCAGCAGTGAAGGTGGCCTTCTCGGTGAGAAGCTTGGCACCCCCTGGTTTCTGTGGTAGTCCAGATCCTAGGCCAGGGCAGCAGTACAGGGCAGGTACCCTTGCCACTGTCAAGCAAAGGCAGCTGGCGGGAAGGTCCTTGTATCTGGGCCCCTGACATGGGATATGGTGCTCCACCCACAGTCTCTCCCTATAAGGACCTGCCCTGGGATGGCCTGGCAGAGAACTGGGCAGTGTGGCTGGCTTTATGCTAACTCTTGTCTTTCCTGTTATGATTTTTTTATGCTGAGAAGAATGTTGAGGGGGCCGGGGAGATGGCTCAGTAGAATAAGCACTTTCCTGGTAAGCTCAAGGACCTGAGTTCAATCCCCAGTTCCGGGGAAAAAAACAAAACAAACAAACAAAAATAAATGAAATAAAGGAGAATGTTGGTAAAATAAAGGAGAATGTTGGTAGCTTGCTTGCTTGCTCTTTCCTTCCTTCCTTCCTTCCTTCCTTTCTTCATTTTTTTCTTTTCTTTTAAATATTTTACTTTGACACAGTTTCGCTAAATTGTAAGTTTCCCAGGCTGGCCTCAAACTTGCCACCCTGCTACCTCAGCTTGCCAGAGCTGGGCCCTTAGGTGGGCACTGCCACACCAGCTAGGCCAGATTCTCACAGGCCTGTGACCCAGAGCCATTCAGGACACGTGAGGAGAAGACACTCTGTGCAGGCCGTCTTCTCCTGCGGGTGCCTCAGCCCGGCCCTGTGTTCTGGGGCCTCCAGGGGCTCCCCTTCTAGTGTGGTGCCCTAGCCCAGGTCTGAGCAGCACGCTGTCTTCCCATCCTCCTCTCCAGACTGCCAAGGCCAGGGCTGACGCCAGAGGCCACTAGATGCCAGGGAGACTGATTAAAAGCAGCATCTCAGGCTGATGGCATGGTGTCCTTGCTGTGTAGGGGAGATCGATAAGCAATTGTTTTTCTGTTGGCAAGAAAAGAATTCTCCATTGACTTTCCTGGTGCTGCCAGGCTTAGTTTTCTTTTCAGGAATGTACAGAGCCCTGTCAGAGCCCTGGCATGGGGGACAGCCTGCCTATCCTGGGGTCTGGAGCACGTGGCTGGGACTGTGGGGCCATAGGAGCAGGGGCTGCTTGGATGCCAGCCCCTTATAGAACATTCTGGAACAGCCTGGCTAGTAGTGGGCATTCAGCAGGAATTGATGGAAAGAACAGCTTTTGAGCATGTAAGCTTCTGAGGACTCCCCCCCCCCCAATATAGTACTAGGGATGGAGCGGGCTTTTGCACTAGCTCTATCACCAGCGCTTTTTTAACATTTTATTTTGAGACTAAGTTTCCCTTAATTGCCCCGGCTGGCTGCGCTTGGACTTGGAATCCTTCTGCCTCAGCCTCCCACAGTGCTGAGATTGTGGATACGCAGCCCTGCACCCACCTTCAGTTTCATTCTTCATGCTGTAAACTCTACATAGCCTGAGCTTTACCATCTCAGCTGTTTCCAGTGCGTAATTCCCAGTGTTGGTGCTGTGCCGGCGCCATTACTCCCCCGCTTCCGGATATCTTCACCACCTCAGGAGGAAATCCATGCCCTGTAGGCGGTAGCCCCTCTGTCCTCTCGCTGAAAACCTGGCCCCCTCTTCTCCTTTGCTTATCTGTGAGTTGACTGTTGGAGGTACCACCTGTGACAGCCACAGTATCCATCCCTTGGTGTCTGGCTGTGTCACTGGAGTACCATCTCTGTGGCCCTACTGCCTTGTGGCACGAGAACTCCTTCCTTCCGCAGCCTCTGTGTGCGTTCCCACATTCTGTTTATCCTTGTGCCCACTCGTGGACATTGGGTTGTTCCTACCTTTTATCAGTTGTGAATAGCACTGCTTTGAACATTGATTTTCCAAGTAACTGTTTGAATTCCTGCTTTTTATTCTTTTGCGTGTATTTCTAGGAGAGGAATTGCTGGCCCCTAAGTAATTCTACATTTCACTTTCTGGCTGGGAGTGGTAGTATACACACCTGTAATCCCAGCACTTGGGAGGCTGAGGCAGAAGAACTACCATGAGTTTGAGGCCAGCCTGGGCTACGCAGTACGTTCAAGGTCAGCCTGCACCATAGAGCAAGATCTTGTCTCCAAATCAGTCAGTCAGTCCTGGTGAGGCAACTGTTCTGAGATGGTGGGTGGCATTCTTTCTTCTCAGCTGGATGTCCAGGGCGCCCTGGCTCTCTGCCCCCTCCCTCTTTCTCTCACTGTATGTCTGTCAGTGTCACCAAGAGATGTCATCTTATTTGCTCTCCTGGGCACCCACTGTCTTCCTGGCTTCCAGAGACTGCTTCATGTGCATGGGATCAGTGCGGAGCTGCCACCCTGTCTGTGAATCAGGGATGACTCTTGAGTCCCAGCAGCTCCTGTGACATTTGTCCGGCAGGCTTTGTCAAACATGAACAGAAGGTTAATACTCTGTCCAGACAGAGAGGCTGCGAGTCTGAGGGAGCGCTCCAGTCTCTCTCTCTCTCCAAACTTGAGAAAGTGTTCACATTATTGTAAAATTAATCTCTTTTTTTGGCAGTGCTGAAGATTAAAACCAGTGCCTCAGGGCTGGCCAGATAGCTCAGCAGACTAAAGCACCTGCTTAGCCAGATGCAGGGACCGGGGGTTCAATCCCCCATGAGTTGTGTTGGCCCTACCCCGGGGGTGCACTGAGATGGTGATTGAGACTGGGCTAGGTGGCATGTGCCTATAATCCCAGCTCTTGGGAGGCTGAAAACAGGAGAATCACTATGAGTCCCGTCTGTATAGTAAGACACTGTAGACCCTGTACTAAACTAAAAAAAAAAAAAAAACAACCAACAAACAAACAAAAATAAAACCCCACCAGTGCCCCACCCATTCCAGGTGAGCATTCTCTACTACCCGGTTATACCTCTGACCTGTTTTTATTTATTTTGGTACTAGGAATCAAACTCAGGACCTTGCACTTGCCAGGCAGGTGTTTACACTGCTGAGCTACATCCCCAGCCCTGTTTTATTATTTTTTAATTTGAGGCAGGGTCCCACTGAGTTGCCTAGGTTAGGCTTGAACTTGCCAATCCTCCTCCCTCAGCATTCCAAGTAGGCCAGATGGAGAGCCACAGGCCCACCTGTCCCTGCCTCTGTGACCCAGCCTTGCTCTGCTTCCTCTCTCTGCAGGTGGCCCTGCTGCCGGATGGGAGCGCCCCAGCGTGGTGGATGACGTCATTCCACGCACGATGTCATCATGCGTCTCTAGACAGCCCAGCAGTGACCGGGCTGCGCCCCAGGATGGCAGCAGCGAAGGCCCAAGGCCCTGTGAGGCTCTACAGGGCCTCTCATCCCTGAGCCTCCGCCTGGGTATGGAGTCCTTCATTGTGGTCACCGAGTGTGAGCAAAGTCACACCGGGGACCTTAGCCTGGCCCAGGACTGGCCCCTGAAGGCTGATGGTCAAGAGCTTCCCCTGGACACCTCCGGGTCCCACATCCGGCCCCACCTCTCAGGTCGCAAGCTGTCCCTGCAGGAGCGGTCCCCAGGTGTACCAGTGGCCGGCAGCAGCCCAGACACGAATGGACGCTGCATTTGCCCGTCCCTGCCCTACTCATCTGTTGGGTCCCCGCAGTCATCACCTCGATTGCCCCGGCGGCCCACGGTGGAGTCGCACCATGTGTCCATCACCGGCCTGCAGGTGCGTGGCAGCTGGTGGGGCCAGGCTCTTGGATGCCCTGCCCTGTCTTGGGCTCTCTGTGCGAGCAGGGGCTCCCCAAGAAGAGTCAGTGCAGCTGTGGAGTTGGAGGTGACCCCCAGCGATGCTGCTGGTGCTGGTGCTGGGCTCAGCACAGAGGACAGAACAGGCAAGTAGGGGGCTGGCATGGAATGCAGAGGGCCCAGAGCCCAGGCAGCCATGTCGCACCCCCACTGCCGCACTTGCACCTGGGTCTGCATGGTGTCTGCAAGGCGGCTTGGACTCAGGCCCTGGCAGCTTCACTGGGCCCTGCAGTCCCTGTGTCCTGGTGTGGGCCTCGAGACCCCTCGTCCCATGCTGCAGGCTGAATCCTGCTATCCTTCCCTCCTGCCTGCTGAGTACTCCCTGTTCCCAGTTCTGCAAAGTGGCTCTGTCTTCTGCCACGGCCACCTGTGGCTGCCTCACCAAAGCAGGTCCTCCTCACCTGGCAGTCCCTATGCTCTCACACCTGCCTGGGGGCAGTCTCCCCCAGCCAGAACACGACCCCCATGCAATCTGCCTTGTCCTCCATGTCCCTAGCACCACACAGAGCCTGCACATAGTGGGAGCTTGAAAGCATCTTTGAGAGAATGAATGAGTCTGATTGGAGAAGACTCCATGTCAGGCTGAGCTTCCGGGGCTGTGTGCCTGTAGGCCTGCGCTCTGGAGCTAGGGGGAGCTGTGTAGGCTCCCCGTGGCCTGGCGAGCACAGTGCAAATGAGTGCAGGGGTGAGCGCAAGCCCTGTGGCAGAGGCCGGAGGAAAGGCATTCAGTTAGCTGGAGTAGGGCTGCCATGAAACCTGCTAGTGATGGGGCTTGAGGTAGTTCGGGTTTGTAACAAAGTTGAGTCAGCTGAGAGAAACAGCCCCCACTCCCCACAGTGGCTTTCATGCAGTAGGATTTATTAATCATGCAAATTATATCAGAGCTAGGCATTCTGGGCCTGGAGTAGTAGTTGTGTTATATTGTGGCTTCTGTGGTTCCAGTCTGCACAGCTGCATTCCAGGCAGGAAGAAGGAGCAGGGGAAGAAGAAGGCCTTGTAAGTTAGGCCTCTTTCCCAGAAGCTCTCCTCAACACCTGTAGCCTCATTCCCACTTCTAGAACACAGCCACACAGCCAGCTCACTGCGGAACCACCCAAAGCTACGGGAGGCTGGAGACAAAGTTGGCCGGGTGGGACATTGCTGTGCGGAGTCCCATGTGTAAGGAACAGGGGAGGCTGGCATTTGGTGGGCGGTTAGGTGGCAGGCAGGGTCAGGCCTCGGAGGCTTGGCTGTGGGGATGCAGGGAGTTCAGGTGGACTCGGAAGCCGAAGCCGGCAGCGTGTGGGCTGGGGCCGGCGGCAGCTGCCTGGGCTGCTGCTCTGCCTGTGGTGTGCAGTCTGACAAAGGCACAGTGTCTGGGACACTGAGGGGGAAGGAAGTTGGGAGATGGTTTGCAGGACACCCTTTGTGGTGGCAGGAATCCCCTGGAGCAGCAGATGTCCTGACCAGTCAGGGCTGGTGGCCGCATACTGGGTGATGTGAGGGCTTGCGCTGGGGGACAGGGGGTCACATCTGACACTGGAGATTGGCTTCTGTCATGTTTCTCTCCCAGTTTTACCCTTAGATCACTAAAACTTGCCCCTCACTGCCCAAGAGCAGTGGAAGTTTTTTAAAACCTGCATCTTCCACATGTACAAACGTGCATTGCTACCTGATTGTGCCTGTGCCAGTCTCACAGCCAGGGCCATGGGACGTCTCAGGCCTTGCCACCCCTGCCTCCCTCTCCCCAGGGAGCTGCTGCCTCGCATTTTGTTTTGTTTTTGAGATGGAGTCTATCAGATGCAGGCTGGCCTTGAGCTCACTGTGGAGCCCAGGCTGGCCTTGGGTCCTCCTGCCTCAGTCCCCAGAGTCTTGGCATTTTAGGGGTGAGCCAGCTATTTTCTTTAAAAAAAAATCATTATAGATGAGTTTGTAAACTCACACATTGTTCTACGTGGGATCACTTAGTGTGCCGTCTGTTTTTAGTGTATTTTTCTCACAGCATCCTGATTCTGTGGTTCATCCATGTTGTGTCTGTGGATTCAGCCAAGCTCAGGCTGAAAGTATCCAGAAAGACCACTGCATCTGCAGGGATTCTTGTTTTCCTGTGCTGATTCCTGAATAACGTAGCGTGGCCAGCCCTCCCCAGTGTCTGCTTTGTATGAAGTGCTTATGTAGTGCACAGATGATTGAAAGCCTAAAGGATGTGTCCGCTGGCTTGTCTCGGGGTAGCTGGCGCATGCCTGTATTCCCAGCACTTGGGAGGCTGAGACAGGAGGATCACTTGAGTTCAAGGCCAGCCTAGGCTACATAAGCGAGACCCTGCCTCAAAAACAAACTTACTAGTCCGGGCATGGTGGTGCATGCCTGGAATCCCAGCTCTGTGGAGGCTGAAAACAGGAGGATCACTACAAGTCCAAGCTGCATAGTGAGACCCTGTACAAAATACATAAATGGAAAAATATTTTTAAAAATTAAAAAAAA